GTACACAGGTGCTTAAGTGACCTGGCTTCCAAGTAAGAGGTGAATCCCCCAGCTAAACCTTTGAACGTCAGCGTGCTTATGTGGGCTGTTTAATCCATGTTTGGGCATTCCGCTTTTGATCTCAAATTCACATCTCTCATTTGTATCCCTATTGCTGCAGGAGCACAGAGACCTCATTTTCAGGAAGGGCATCAGAATATGCCAGATAAACGTGCTCAGTAGTATCTCAGCAAATGATGGCAATTCTGATTTTTACTCCTACTTAAAAAAACCCACACAAAACAAAACAAAAAATGAAACAAACAAAACCCCCAAACCAAAAACAAAACCCCAAAATAAAACCCAAACCCAAGAAACTCTCAGAATGAATTATAAAAACCTTTTTAAGGAAGTAAAGAAACCATAAGAACAGGAAGTATTACTGATAAGATCTTCATATGTTTTAAAAGGGTCCTTCAACAGCGCTGTCTTTAACAACTGGAGCTTTTTATACCTTAGCCCTCCCCCAGTTTCCTAGTGTGCAATCAAAGCCACTTTTTGTTATTGTTAGATGAAACAGTGGAGCAGTCAGGGAAGCAGGGGAGGAAGAAAGCATGAAAAATAAAAAAAAAAAAGAGCAAGTGGTCAGGAAGGAGAAGTTGCTTTCATTTTTAAGAGGTCTTTCTCTATTAACGTGAGTTAAATCTAAAGCATATCTTCCATGCAGCTGCCCAAAAACCTGGGCATGGTTACACACGAAGGGACTGTCAGCCTTTGCTGTTATAATCGCACTGAAATCATTCTGTGTTTTAGATGAAATTGATTTAAAACTACTTGGGCATCCTCACACTTCCAATTAGTACCATCATTTTTGCCTCTGGTGACCTTCAAATATTCATGGATGTCTGCTTATTCTGCCATCTCCTCGTTCTCCTCCTGCCTCGCTGTCACAGCCTGCTACTATGACTGTGTTTTTAATGCTAAGCCTTCTGCTTGTAATGCCAGCACTATAAGACTTTCACACGGAAATACTGAGGATTTTTTTTTTCCAGACTCCCATGAATAATCATAGGGCTGCAGCATAGTAAAGTTTCTCTCTGTTAGATTTGCCTGTTGGATGTCATGGAAAGATGGATTAAAATTCATTGGACACAGACAAAGAAAAACTTTGGATCTACCCTAGAAAAGCATCTCTTGCATCCCCCAGAGGGGTGCTGCTTTTCTTTGTTTTGTTCTCTTTCAAAGTAGAGATCCCCTCCTTCAAACCTGGAAATCTTGAATTTGTGTTTTGAGGCAAAACCCAGCAACAGCAAGGCAGATAGAACAGCTGCAATTTTATTTTTGTCTTCTCAAAATAAGCACAACAATGATCTTTTTTTTTCCTTTTTTTTTTTTCTCTCCTCAATTTGCCAGATTCTCACCATCCACTGTGTGTTCCCCAGGCTGCCTGAATCCTCCTTAGCGTTTTTTCTACCTTTCTAAGGAAACAGGAGAGTAAAGTGGGAGAAGAAGGTCTTTCCAGGTTGAAAAACGAGGACAAGGGAAGTATAGGAAGTGACTTTATCCTTTAGCAAAGGGAAGTGATAGTTGAAATGGCATGAACAGTGCTATGCAAACCAGTGGATTATCTCGCTGCCCATGTAAATGCTGGATTAAACATGAGAGAGATATTTCTGGAACCAAGCAGGATGCTGACTTTAAAATTGCTGAAGACGTGTTAACACAATCACTTGCTCTCTAGGGCAAGTGCTGAAGGACTTGAACTCAGTTTGCTTAGAATAATGCAATTCAGGAAGAAATCCAATTACTGAGCTAATTATCACCTTGGATGAGTGGCAACAACAAAATTTAAAGCAAGAGGCCACTGGAGGAAAGCCCAAATCACCCACTAGTCCCAAAAGTTCACTTTGAGAGGTCCTAGTTGACATGGAAAAGCCCAGGAGCAAAGGCGTTGCTGTTTGATTGTTAGGTGGTGCATTACAGTTTAATGCTATGCAAATTCCCGTTGCCTTCAAGAAGGTACAAACATAGCTTTGGCTACTAATAATTGTGGAAGATTTTTAAAGTCCAAAATGAATTACCTCACTGAATTTATTCAACTAAACTGAATTTCAGGACAGAAGTTTGTTTTACAAACTTGTCTATATTACCTTAAAAAAAATAAAATAAAATAAAAAATGCTTCAAAATATCTGTATAAAGATTTGAGATTTTCTGCTAGTGTCTGAAAAGGTAAATCCTTTCTTGTCTCAAGTCTTGAGGCCCATGTTTTAGCTGCCTAAGCAATCATTACTGTGCTTGGAATGGAGGATAAAGCCACAATGGAGCCTGGTTTTGTTTTGTTTATAAAAGCTGTTCTGTTTCCTTCCCTTCTTCCCAGTCAGGCTGCATTATCAGTCTAGCAGTGTCCTGAAGCACTTGTGATTTTCACTGATTGTTTCATGCATCTTTTTCTCAATGAAAAAAAAAAAAAAAAAGGAAAGAAATGGAGCCAGAACTGCATGCTGGGCAAAAGTGATTTGTACTTACTATAGATTTGAATTTTCTGAAGTATTGCTTGATTTGTATGGGTCTCAATATGCCTCCAGAACAGAAATGCTTTATAGGTTGGTAAAAAATTGGACTAAAGAATAATATTGACTTGTACCTCATACTGCCACACTGATTTCAGAGGGACTGAAAGTTAATGACTCTCATAATCTTAAAACATGCATTTGGAAATCAGCAGTGTTTCTCTGCTGAAAACAGAAAATTGATTGAATTCCATAACATAATCTTTATGCTTACTCTTGCATATGTTGCAATTGCAGGTGGATGTATATCAAGGTAGAAGAATTCTGACAACCTTTTTGAAGTAAAATCATTCTTTATATTCTGAATCACTTAGAAGATCCCCCTCCCCCTTCCATTGCCATTTTCTGTTGCATAGAAAATGAAAATTGCAGTTACAATAAGATGAGCCAACCAGAGGCAGGAAGATAAATAATACATCAAATAAAATGTTAATCTATGTAGATAATGTACTAATATTAATTACAAATAATTAAGACTCATACTCTCTCCAACTGTATTTCTTGCAAAGTAAAGAACATGCCTTTTTAAAGCAAAACTCAGTTGGTGGTAGGGAGTGGAAGTAAAGCAGTTCTGTTCCTCATCTGTCTACTACATGGAAGACTGTGTGCAATTTTTTCTGTTGATCGGGTTTCCACAGCTTTCTGGGAGAGGCTGTAGAGGGTGGATGAAAAGGCTTTCCCGTCATGGGACATCAATGGCATCCTTCTCCCAGTTGGCTTCAGCACGAGCTTATAGCTTCAGCTCAAACTTCCAACGTTTTAAATAACTGGTGTGTTGACACACGAAATCCTGGGAGCCAATACTGAGATGAGGACATACAGACTCCCAGAGTGTCTCTGCTGTGCTTCAAAGACATTACCCTGGGTTTACACCATCCTTTTTCGGTGTTATTTGTGCTGTTTGAAAGCCTCCCATATAACTTATAAGCTCTCTGGCTCAGTCTTCCTTGGGGCATGTCTAAGCTCTCATAGTGCGTAGCTAAATTCGGGCTTTGTAAGTTGACTGGCCAACCATCAGCGTGTTCAAAATCTCCACTCTGCCCTGTGCTCCCCACCCCAATGAGCCAGACCCTATCCAGTCCCACCTGGCCGTGCCGCCCACGTCATATTTTGACAAAGGACACGATGAAGACTGTGCCTGGGTGTCTCCTTCGGTTTCCGTGCCAGGAGAGGTGGTGCCTTGGCACTTTTCCCCTGCATTTGCAGGCTGTTGAACAGATGAGACCCTCACCGCTGTCACATGGAACCTTATGCTGACTCTTGTTTGGGGCAAATGGCTTTGTCTTTACCCATTTTCTGCTTTAACCCCATTTTCCAAGGAATGATAATGTTTACGTATCTGATTGATAGAGTTTCTGCTAAGGCTAGTGATTTGAGAGCAAAACTTTTGAGGCAGTGTTCTTAATGAAGTTTCCTGGAATCCTGAAGCACCACTGTCAGAGCAGTATTCCAGGGAAATTTACATTAATATAGCATTTCTATTAGCTAGGCTTTCACTTGTACCCCAAACGCTTGGGAGATGGAGGCTTGGGAGACACTTTGGATTTCTGGTGTTGAATATCCCTCGTCACCACAACAACCACTCCCTTCAGTTGGGCGCATGCTTTCCCACAGTGATTTGCTCATTCCTTATTTTCAGACTTTGTTAGTGTCTTTGTTACGTGTAGGAATAAAAGCACAATACAATCTACCTTTTAGTTGCTTTTTGGTTTGTGACCGTTTTTTGCTGTGGTATTTCTGTTCCACTGCTACAATGAAAATACTAAGTAGGGAATGTGTCATTAATAAGGGAGACAGGGTTACTGTCTGTATTGACGAAGACCCTGTAATTTACTCTTTTTCAAGCAATAAGAATGACCAGGGACCCTCTCGTTGCTGCCTAGCTAAATATGAAACTAAGTAAAGTGATTTTTTGTTGTTGTTTTTCCATAGATGTTATACACCCACAGAAATATTTTTGCACGAAGAAAACCCCGCTGAGTCCAGCTGTTTCCCTTAAGGCTTAGAAGGGAAAAAAGAATTGATTTAATATTCTTTCTATTCACTGTTTTGGTGGCACCTGGCTGATGTGCTTCTGGAGCCAGTTCAATTATTTAAGTACATAGTGTTGTGTACTATCACAGGTGCCAAATTCTGAATGGACTTTGCCCCACAAGAAGGAAAAGGGGGAAGACAGAGTTTGAGGAAGAGGAGGAGGGAACACAGACACTTTTGGATTTTGTGCTGATAGGCTACGCTATCAATAGCAATACTGAGCTGAAATAACTATATATGGCTGCTTGGAGTAACCCAATGAACAGATTCGAGTGTGAATTGCGTAATGGTATAAACACAGAATGAGAATATAAGCTAGAAAGAAAATAAAAATGTGGTTGGGGGAGAATCTTATTTTTAAAAAAAAAAAAAAAAAAATTAAAGAATTGGCTGTACAACATGTCTTTATTTCCAGCACCAAAAGATCGGACCATTCCAACACCAGACTGGCAATTCAGATCGAAAAGGATGCAGGTATGGCCTGGGATTTGCGTTGTTTTGCTTGATTTGCAAAATGTGATGTATTTACTCCGTTAAGGCTTTGCCTAGGAAGCTGAAGAGATGCAAAGGGTTTAAATGTTGTGTGGACAAACCAGAGCATTTTGAATGTAGCAGAGCACTGGTTTAAACTGTGTGACTTGATAAGTAAATTCGCTCTTCAGTTATGTGTAGCTGATCAGATAGCTGCTGGGCTGCGAATTGCTTGGTTAATCATAACATTGCTGTTTGTGCAGGGTATGCAGCAGACACTCTAGCTAGACTCGAAGGTCAGCTGTGGACAGGGAAAGGTTTTGGGTAAAAGCAGCAGGTTAATGGTGCCCCTGCTGCTGAGCAGTTTGGGCTGACAGGTATCTCCTCTTCCCTGGAAAGAAGCATTTTTGGAGGGGATAGAAAGGGAAGTTGGAAAGTTTGCAGGAGGGAGAGTAAAAGAAAGAAGTAGGAAAGACAGGCGGGCTTCTCCTCTGAGGAGTGGTGCATTAAATGAGCTCCGATCTGTGGCAGTGTAAAGCACCTTCCTGGGCTGCACCGAGTGGCTTCTGTGAGACTGGGAAATGAGAGCATTTTTTGGCAAGTCAGTGGACACGGGGAGCGTGTGGTACAAACTCTTCAGCACCTGGCAAGACAGAGCCCTTTCCAGGGGAAACTGATACCTGTGTTTCATGCTAAATCCTGTGCTCCCAGTGAGAGAGGCCAGGGTTTCATATATGGGTTTCTTCCGCTTTAGTGTTCTGCGGCTGATTTTATTTTGCCAGTGAGGTGTCAGGGGCTCGTATTGTAGAGGTATTATAAGTTTACATTGTAATTACTGCTGTTATATTTTTATACACATACCCTTTAATCCTTATCTGTTACATCAGTAGTACGAACAAATACACGTCTTCAAGCGGAAATGAGTGTAATCCAGGGTGTTGAACAAGGCAAGAGAGGTATTAGCAGTTTGAGGCATATATAGTGCTCTTTCATTATTTATCAAGGCAGGGAGTTAAGATGGTTCCCAAGGCCATTCTGTCATCTGATAGCAATAACCTTTAGCATCATTATATATGCTAATAAGTTAATTATGTTTTAAGCCCCATAGCTCAAGCAAAACATTCCTTGTGTGAGTGCGTGTGCTTAAAAGATTCGTTTTATGACTCACTTAGATTTTGATGGATATATTCCAGAAGGTGCATAGCTGAGCATGTCTGTATGTGCATACACACCTGCATTTAGATACCTACCAGGGCCAGACGCACGATGAAAAGTGGCGTAGTGACACACCCGCTCCTCTTGTATTGGGGAGCAATTTGTAGGGTAAGCTGTAGCCTGTCATCCCGTTTTTTTTCTCCATGTTAGATCTGCTCCTAAAAATGCACGTACATAAATATGCACATGTACCTGTACATATGTATCCACATACATGCTCAGGTATACGAATACACCTACGAGATGTTGGTTTGTACAAGTGTATTTGCTCATACACCGGCATTTTAACAGTAGTGAAGGTGAGAAGGTGAGACATTGATGCATTATAGAAAGGAAAAGCAGTTCTCCTGTCAAGCATATATTATGTAAAAGAGTACAAGCACGAGGCAGCACCACATTGGATTATGTGGCACTGTGTTAGCGTTTGTGAAAGGTTTGTTCCCTTTCGCAGATCACCATAATGTGCTACTTTTAACCCAGTTAAATGCCATAGACCTTTATGAGCTGACACTTCTAGACTGTGATGGGGCGTTTTTCATCTGGACAATTGGTCCAAGCAATGCGTAATTGGACAGCTGCTATTTTTAAGGAAGTGGCAGCAATTCTAGTGGTGAATGAACCTTGTTTCATTCTTTCCAATATGCTAAATGAACTCTTTTAAAGTACGTATCCTTGTCTTAAGTACTAATGGATATTTCATAGAAAAAGCCTTGAAAAATTCCTGGAGGAATAAAAGAAAAAAATCTGAACAAAATTACTGGAAGCTGTGTGCCAAAATTCCTTAAAAATCTCAGAAATAATACTCAGATTTAAGCTTATCTACTGAAATAATAATGATTTCTGGTTTCTTAAAATTAAGAAAAATATGTAGACATTAACTTAGCCTTGCAGGGACTTTCAGTGGAGCCAAAAAATTTTTGCTGTTGTAAAACATGTGAAATATGTGTTATCACTAATTTGATATTCTGTTTACAATATTGTTCATATAAAACAAACAAGTTTCAGGCCTAGTTCTCTGAAGGGCTAAAAACTACCTAGGAAATGCAGATTGTATGAAGTACTAGGAAGATACCATCCAGCTAGAGGAAGAAGCTTTATGCACGAATGAAAAATAACATGTGATTTTTATGCAGAATGGCTTGGTGTATTATAAATTTTATTCGTTACAAATGTGTGCTGCTCTTATTGTAGGAAATGATGACAATAATCTCAACTCCATTTTTTATGAGCATTTGACAAGATCTCTGCAGGAGTCTCTTTGTGGAGATTTGATTCTGGGCCGCTGGGGAAACTACAACACAGGAGACTGTTTTATTTTGGCATCAGATTATTTAAATGCCTTTGTGCACTTGATCGAAATTGGAAATGGCCTTGTCACCTTTCAGCTCAGAGGGCTGGAATTTCGAGGTAAGGATCCCTGATGATTTAAATAACAAAATCAGCAACAAACCCTGTCTGGTTTTTTTATCTATCACAACTCTATAGTAGGACATGGAGTTTAAGGGCATTTCTCTCTCTTTTTACAGGTGCTTATCTGTCTGTCTAAAAGCTTTGTACTTCTTTGTATCGTTATTTGAATGACAATGTTTTGAAACCTGATGCTAAAAAATTTGAGGCCCTGTTCTGCAGTATCATAAGACTTTCAGAAAGAAGGCAGGGGTCGGTCTGTTCTCCCTAGTGACAAGCAATAGAACAAGGGGAAATGGCCTTAAGCTGCACCAGGGGATGTTCAGGCTGGATATTAGGAAGAATTTCTTTACTGAAAGGGTTGTCAGGCATTGGAACAGCCTTCCCAGGGAGGTGGTGGAGTCCCCATCCCTGGAGGTGTTTAAGAGCCGGGTGGGTGTTGTACTTAGGGGCATGGTTTAGTGGTGTTGGTAGAGCTAGGACAAAGGTTGGGCTCAATGATCTTGAAGGTCTCTTCCAACCAAAACTGTTCTATGATTCTATGATTCTGTAAGGCATGTTGAGTTGTTTGCTTGGTTCACATATCTTTTATGTTATGCTTAGTTATGATTTCAGATTATTTCTTTCCCTCCATAACTGTGAAAACCAAAGTTGTTCTTAAAAGTTGTTCAACACCCCGCCCCCCAAGCTTGTCTTTGAAAAAACCGCAAATATCATAAGACTTCTCCCACAGAAAATATCTTCTGTCAGATCATGCAAGATGACAGTGCTGAGATGGTCTCTGTCACAGTAGAAGAGGAGAGGGAGAAGCAAGTCGTTGGGGGCTTCATATTTCTGTTATTTAGGAAGTGCTGACTTCAGTTGAATAAGGGACCTCACTTTATTCCTGTTCAGTGTATTCCTGTGTCAGGACACTCCTCTTTAAGCTATGGCAGTTGCATCCCCTTCCTCGGTGGTGTGGCCTTTGTGAGATCAGTTTCTTGTAATGTCACACTCTTGTCCTTTTGCCTGTTGTTGTCCCTAGAATAGGAAGAAAAATGAAAGTAAAACCACAAAAACAGCTTTTAAATTTTGCTCGTGCTACATGTGTTGGCCACCTGAGTTTGTTGCTTGAGTTTGTAGCCTTTCAAAGATACCACTTTGCAATTGCAGGTGATGGGAGTTTTGAAATCCCAGAATAAACAGCTTCCCAGGCTCAAGGGTTGAGTATCTAACGGACAGTGTGTAGAGGAGTATCTTAATCAAGGCGACTTTTCAACAAGGTTGAGTATGAGAAGATAGGAGATGGACTGGCTCTTTGAATGCACTTTGGTGTGGGAGGATTAGACTAGGATATAACGTGTGGGCTCGAGTCTTGACTTTGTGAGAGTCCCTGTAGGATGTAGAAGAGGTTGTGGTAAATGCTTGATGTTCACTTTACTTCCTGTATGGTGGGGACAAAGATAACACTCCTGTATCTTAAGAAAATATATGTAGAAAACAGTAAATACCTGAAATGGCTTGGTATTGTAGTACCTGAAGAGATACTTATTCAGTACAAAGGCAAATTGTAATAAAAAGCGACTGGAAAGGAAGAGAAAGAACTTGTTTATCAGCCTTGTGATTTCTTGTTGTTCATGATGGTGGTGATCTATGTGTGACTCTGTGGCTTTCTTCAAAGACATCTGTGCAAGTAATATCTTCTCCTTTTTCTCCCCAACGTAAGCAGTGGTACTGCTGTGTCAGAGATGGATACTGAGGTTAAGTACCCTATAGAGTCCGCAGGTGGAAACCTTTTTTGGGTATTTATGGAATTTGCTGGTACTTCTTTCAAATCCAGGCCAGACAAATGCAGATTTATGTTGTTCTGCAAGATACTGCAAGAACTTGGCAGTTCAGATCTCTTAGTTACAGTACCGCTGGTTTCACAGGCTGGTAAATCTCTGAGAAAATTGCTTTTTTCAAATTATTTTAAGACAGTTTTAGTCAGCCTGCCACTTTTGGTTCCTCTTAAGTTGCTCACAGTTGTAATTCTTTGTGGAAACTCTGTGAATTCAAAAAATAGTTCATTCATTTCTGCAGATCTGAAAAGAAAAGTGACTTCCAAGAGGGATTTACATATGTAAAAAGAGGAGACATATCTTGGACAGCAATGACATTTTGTTCAGATTTGTTGGGATTTTGAGTAAGCAGGACCATGTACATTTCCATTAACTTGCATTCTAATTTCACAAAAAATATCTTTACTGATCATCCTCTTGTGTTAAAGTAGTTCACTGTAGGACTTGAAGCCAACAGAAGAAAGAAATCTCACTTTCATGCTCAAATTACATTAGTTTTGTGAGTGGGTTTTTTCCCTTTATGCGGTTGCCACCTGCTGCTGGGTCCCTCTGCATCATCACCATCCCCAGGCAGTTAAGAAAAGTAAATTTTGGAAACAGGGATGAAAAAACGTGAGAGGATCTTCAAGCCGTGTGCTAGCTGGATAAAAAGATCAGGGGCCTAGCAGATGGGCTTAATGAACTAGAAGTTTAATGGTGAACAACTGGATAGTTTTGTTGCAAAGTAGTTTGGGAACAGTTTGTTTGACTTTGAGCCAGGATGGTTCATTACCAGGCGAGTGCCATTTTGCATTTGGATCTGAGAGCAAAGCTCAAAATTGGAGTGTGTCACCTGTCAAGGCATCTCGGTATTCCCTAAAATCACAGGTTAAGTGACTAAATGGGTCTGAAAATTGACCTTTCCGTGCAGATTGCCTAGCACTGTTCAGTGTTAGTACTGTAGCTGGTTCGCTTTGTGAATAGATCCAACATGTCTGCTGGCTGCAACCGGTCTTTAAATTCAGCTAGGGCTGAGCCCTGCAGCCTCTCATGTGTTTCATGGGTTGCCATTGAGAGCCAGCTGAGTTCTCATCCCAAATATCCCCTTTCACAGTCTCTCCGTACTGAGAGCAGCACCCGTACCTGAGTGGTCAAAAGACCTGGACCAAGACAGCGGCAGCAAACGGTGAACTGGGAAAGCACAGACAAGTTACTGGAGGAGGAGGAGAGGAGTGGGGAAAATGGGAATGGGAATCTCACCTAGATTATCTCATCCTCACTACAAATCCAATCTCCTATTTCTCCTCACCCTCAGAGTATCACTGGGGAAGAGACTAGGAGAGGAAAAGGATGAAAATGGGAGGGAAATGGACTCACCCTGTTCTCTGCTCTGAACCTGCTGGGTGATGCTGTTCCAAGAATAAGAAAATGTGTAGTCAGTTTCTGTCCTCACAGACTTGGTATGTAAGGAAGGTTTCTCTAGCTTTCAGAATATTTTTTTCTGGGTAGAGGAGATGTTATGGGAAGTGAAACTAGGAGCGTGTGAGTATTGTTATTATGTGGTTTGGCCTGGAACAGAGAAGCCATGTAGGATTGAATAAAGGAACATAGCTGAGGAAAGAACAGCTCAAACTCATAGCATTTGACATGCCATGTGAGAGCTGAACCACGCTGGACTGTGCAGAATGGGTGCCAGAGAAACCACGTGAACTACAAGCCTGCTAAATGATGGAGTAGGAGGAACAGAGCAGCCCAAAAGGGAACCATGCAGAAGTCAGATAAGATGGATCTGCCTGACGCAGACTGTAACAAAACCTTCATAGACTCCAAAGTTTAGGCAGATAGTCTGCTGTGGGCCCAGTGGAGACTTGCTGAGGTGATGTGCTGACACCAGAGGGTTGCTTGTGTCTCCAGGTAAACCATGAGGGCTGGTGTGCTTTAGATACACTATGCTGCGGTACCATGCCCTTCCTATAACAGGTTTCGTCCTTGAGTCAACAAGACACCAGGCTGCTCTGAGGGGGCCGTAGGGGTTACACAGGGGTGCCCAGACACTGGGGCACTGAGTCTGAGTAAAAAGAGCCAAAAGGGCTGACCTGAAGGCAGAAGATGCATAAGGGGATGGCCAAGGACTGTCCCAAGGAAACTCTGTGAAAGCTGAGACTGAGCTGAAACTTTTCCATGGAAGGTTTTCTTTGGTCCTTCCTTTGAGCAGGATTGCTGCCTGCAGGGGCAAGAAGGTAGAGCAGGCTGCCTCCAAGCAGCACCGAGAGCCATCTCCTGCATGGGCTAGGCACCTTCTTCCGCCTTTCAAATCTTGCAAATGGCTGGTGTGTGGTACAACTGAATACAGTAGGATTTTTTTCTGCATAAGTGGGAAGAATATATGCAACTGCCCTGGAAGAACCTGGTAGTTTACAAAGTCAAGAGGCAGTTGTTAAGCACTAGGCTCATTTCCTCCACTTAGGGCATCTTACACTCCTATTTTTAGTTGTCTGGTCATGCGCTGTTTTTCACATAGGACCCTGATTCCTTTCATTGTACAGAATGGTTTCCCACAAGGAGGGGAAAAAAAGGGCTAGAGGAGGAACTTGAAATCTGTAATTTCTGAGCTTTGGCTGCTTGACTTCAGTTTCAAACAAGCAATTTTAATTGAGGGCCCTAAAAATCTGCTGTTCCTTAAATAGAAAGTCTATGTTTGCTTCAGAAATGAGTGAATCACAACAGTGTTCTCTGTGTCTGTGACTGTTTTCTGTTTATGAGTAAACCAAAAGCAATATTTGCATTGTAGAGCTCTGGATTTTCCTATGGGTGTTTCTCAATGTGGCAGCTGAAAAGCTGTGCTGACAATACTACCACAGTAATGCCCGAAGAAGAGGTCATGGAGTCTTCTGGATTTGAGTGTACTGAGGGCAGGAGGTACTGCCTCCCCAGCTTGCTGTCCAGCCTAATTGAGACTTGGCATTACAAATGGCTGACCTAATGCCTTTGTAACTTTATGTAATAGAAGCATTTGGCTCAGCTTCTAAAGGAAATAAATAAATAAATAAATAACCCAAGTAAAAGAACAAAACCCAACCACCCCCCCTGCAGGCAGGGTAAGAAGATACAGACTGAGCAGACTGCAAGAGACTCAGCAAAGCAGGCATTCCTCTCATCCATCTTTAGTCCTGTTCAAATTAAAGCACCTTGTGTGAATTA